TATACGTAATACGTTGGGAACTCAAACAAAGTGACTGAGGACTTAAATTACCGTCATGCCCCTTTTCAATTGATGAAGAGTCGAAGAAGCTAGTGATATCGACCAGTGCTTAACGCCTAGGCGGCGCCTAATCGGAGTATATAAATCAATATTAATACCTTATTCTTTGATGCCGACGAGAGTGATTCAGATTCGAGAGCGAATCCTTTCCAGCTGGGGGAGAATGATGCCGACGAGAGTGCTTTGGTGTTCCTCGACAAACATGATCGTCTCTGGCCCCTCGTTTGATCACTATTCTATTTATCATTAATATTTTACTAGTACAGAGCTCGTGCGATGCACGGAATGTACAATTTTAAGGTCATTTATCGAGTCTTATAATTATATAAATGAATTAAAAAAAAATGTACAGGATATATATAATACGTGACCCGTAATAGGCCAAAATGTGAACACGGGTGATGCACGGAGTGTACAATTTTTATGTCATTTATTAGTACAGAGCCCGTGCGATGCACGGAGTGCACAATTTTCTAGTATGTGTAATAAAAATACATACCGTATGCATGGGACAAAAGCACTAAATGAGTCATTTCCACAGAGCTTGCCCGTTAAGTAGCTCCTGAACACGGGTGCACAATTTGTAGTACGTACCATAAAATCAATAGATTTTCATACAATTAGATAATAAATTAGATAATAAATAAAGCCTTTTTTTATTTTAGTAAAGATTTTACGTACTTTGTTTGTTTTACTTATCTGATGTTATGGGATTTTTTTTGTTAAACCAATTTTATGGAATATAATACAAATACAATTAGAGGATTGAACAAAATCAAAACATATTTTCATACAATTAGATAAAAAAAAGGAATTGGATAAGGAAAAGAAAGAATTAGATAAGAAAAAGAAGGAATTAGATAAAGAATTTTGTATCTGATTTTTTTTTTTTTTTAAATAGACTTTACGTACAAATTTTGACTTCACTGAATTTATGGAATTTGTTTTGAAAAAGTCGATGTTAATATGGAATAAGACAAATAAATAAAGTCTTTTATTTTAGTAAAGATTTTACGTCTTTTTTTTTTTATTTGTCAGATGTTATGGGATTTTTTTTTTGTTAAACTAATTTTATGGGATATAAGATAAATAAGTAAAATATTAAATAAAATTCTAGAGAGAAATAGCAATGCATTAGTTACGTTGACTTTTCAATCTACTAAAATTGGTAAAAAAGATACCTTATATAATAAGTATAGATATACAAATAAATAACATGCCAAAATATTAAAGAATAATTAATGTATTTTAATTTATTATCTAGCCATCAGTAATATTATTTAATGATGTGATCATTATTTCTTAAATGATAAATAAAATATTAATTTAAAAAAATATTTGTTTTCATATACTCAAATAAAAATTAAAAAATACTATCGTCAAATATGAATTATAATATATATAAGTAAAATTATTGCCGAAGTTAATAAAATTATTTAAGAAAAGAATCTTTTTGATCATATTTGAATATGAAATGTGTATATGCAAACAATTAATGCATATAGTAAAAAATTTCTAAATAAAGTATGCATTAAATGTGAGTTGACTTTTCTTGCTACTATTTTTTATAAATAGAATGACTTTTAATATAAGTATAGATGCTTACTTTATTTAGCTATTATTGGGCCAGTGTTTATTAGGCTTTTAAGATTTAATTGTTAGGGCGTAGGGTGTCTTGTACATAAGGCACTTCTTCACTGTCATTGAACATATTATTGATTATTGAATAAACATCTTCGTAATTGAGAGTTTTCTCTGTTATCACCAATGTTCTGAAAACCGAACCGGTCATCGAACCGATGAAGCTACCATTCAATGATTCACTGGTCAGACTAGTGGTCGAACCGGTCGAACCGCTTTATTTAATATATAATTATTTATTTATTTTATATGTATAATATATTATTATATATATATTTATTATTAATTTTATAGTTTATAATAACATTTGTGTAAATAAATAAAAAGAAAAATATTGTCTACATGTTTATTTAAGTTTATGTACTGACCACATTTTGAAAGAATACTATGTAAAAGCCCAAATAAGACAATGGCTTCTGTAGGAGATAATGGGGGTCTTATACGTATAAAACATGTTGTCATTTTCTATTATAAATTTACCACCATTAGTTAAATAATTATATAATCACCAAATAAAGCATAAAATATTGCTAATTTCCCTAAACATTTGATGTTGCAGTTATATCAGATAATTAAGGAAGATTAAACCGATCAGCACGTTTCATATTCTCACGCGATCCTCGGGAAATCAAAATCTCTTGCAGAAGGAACCCCCCCCCCCCGCCGGTCAATGGCGAAAACCAAAATTGCACGCGATCCTCGGAGAAAAACGGCGAATGATGGCGAAGAAACACCACAGATAAGGTCAAGTTCCCGGCTTCGGAATATTATTTCAAAATCAAAGCCCAAAATCATTCAAAAGAAGCTCGTTTTGAGAAAAAAAATGAACCCTAACCCTAATCGTAAGTCCACCGGCAACGCAAGGATGAAGAAGCAAGTTCCTTCCCATGATTCAGATGATTTCCAGTCCGACCACGGCCGTAAAAATCCAAAACACATGCGGCGGTACCCTAAATTCAAAATCCCCAATTCCAATGAGAAGGGTAATTCGTCTAACTCCGATTTTGAAGATGAAATTCAACCCGAAGACGTCGCTAGAGAAGAATATTTGAGCGAAGAGGAATCCTCAGTGAAAATTTTCAACAAAAGAAACAAAAACAGGGATTCAAAAAAAGAAAGGTGAAGTTAATCTGAACAAGAAAAGAAGAAAACTGAACCCCGACATGCAACGTGTTCAGAAGCAGATAATGTATAAGGTAATTTTTCGTCAGTTAATTGGTGTATGTTAATGAATAATTTGTCATGGTCCTCACACTGTTGGTTGAATAATCTTGTTCTGTAGCCCTAAGTTGATGATATTTTTATTGATTTTTTGTGTTATAATTTGTCATGTTTGTCACACTGTTAGATGAAGATCACTGTAGTGTGTGATATTTTTCATTCTTTAATGTGCTGATCCTTTAAATGTTCCAGTTATAATGTTGTAATTCTATTGCTGCTCCTTTTTATATCTCAATTATATGTATGATTTTTGACAATTATGTGGTATGTGTACATCAGACATATAACAAATATATACTCTGTCAAGTGTATATCTCTGATTAGTATATTAATCATTCTGCAAAACTGATAAAGACTATGAATGTTTGAGAATTTGCAAAACTGAGTATATATTTGGTATATGTATGTGTTCTATTTTTTTTCATATTCAATTTCATCCTCTGCTCCAAGAATGAATCTTGATAATTTCACAGGACATGTAAAACTTATAAGCAGATTAGGTTTGACTTATTATATGTCAAGTATATGGAATTGTTTTTGATAAGTATGCGGTATATTTATCACATACATATACAATATATATACTCACTCAAGTGTAAAACTCATTAGATTATGTGAATAATTATATGCTAGTAATAAGTTGGGAACAAGTATATGCTACTAATCTGTGAACAATCTGTGAACAATATGATTAGTATATGTTAGTATTCTACATTATCGTGTATATAAAAATCTATATTTTTTGTTTTGATTATTTTCAGGAGTGGGAATTGCTGATCCCTCATCCAAGGGATATAAATGTGAAGGTGCAAAACAGTAACGACAACAACAAAGAGAAATGCACGATAAGTGACATCAAGAAAACGCTGACGAAGGAGCAATTGGAAGCTTTTAGAATGTCAGCTTTTGGGAAGTTCCTTGATCTCCCACATTGTATTTTCCAGAACCAGCTCGTAAACTACATACTTTTACGAGAGGTTCATCAAAGTAGGACATATGAGATCTGGTTCGACTTCGGAGGGAAATTCCTCCGATTTGGTATAGAGGAATTTGCTTTCGTGACTGGTTTGAAGTGCACTGGACTTAGTAAGAAAATGAACATTCCAAAGATTGCCAATGGTCTGTGTGACAAGTATTTTGCTGGTCTTGAATTAACTCGGAGCCACATTAGGTGGCAGTTTATGAAAAAATTGTGGGCGAGCGATGAAGATGCTGTGAAATTTGCTAAGTTGCATTTTTTAGCAAATTTCCTCATGGCCTCTCAAGATGCCCTTCGCATAGACCACTGTTTTGTTGACATGGCAGTCCAGAGTGTGATGATTACTCATGGGGAACCGCTGTCTTTCAGTTTACCCTACAGTAACTGAAGAAATCAATTCATACCAGAGAGCAGATGCACATATCTGATAATGATAAGGGAAGTAACCTGTATCGATTATATGGTCTGATATTGGCTCTTCAGACATGGTTTTACGAGGTTTGCGATACGGCTTAGGGTGTAGTCGCAACCAACGTGGGTGTACACGATATCCCGAGGATAATCAAGTGGGAAGTTCGTGAACCTTGTACGCATATTTTTGTACAGAGAACCTTTTCTAACCTTGATCAAAAGAAGGTAAATAATAATGTTTTAGTATTTTTTATCATATATCTGCCGATATAATATATATATTTTTTCTTTCTACAGTTCAATAACATCGTTCCTACCGAGGCCGAAAAACAAAATCTTTTATTGGACTCATTCTTCAGAAAAAGAAATGAGTTCACC